CTTCCTCTAGGTGGGCGGGGCCTTCTCCCCGAGGTGGGCGGGGCCCTTCTCCCGAGGTGGGCGGGGCCTTCTCTCCCGAGGTGGGCGGGGCCCTTCCTCCTCCCCCAGAGCACGGTGTGTGGGGGGCAGGAAGAGGAGGTCCCATTCGGGCCAAGGGCCCCAGAGGGGTGCATCAGCTCGCCCCCGGGCCCACCTGCAGCAGCAGCTTGCGGTAACGATCATTGAGCAGCTCCAGGTTCCCATGCTCCTCCTCCAGCTCCTCTTCCAGTTGGCCCAGTCGCCCCTCGAGCTGACGCTTCTCCTCCGCCAGGGCCGCCCTGGAGGGCAGGGAGAGCCATTAGTACCTAGGCCGTCCCGCCCAGGCCAGGGGTGGGGCACCACCCCTGGAAAGGGCTGGGGCTGGGGCGGGGGCGGGGGCGGGGCGGACGCACTTGGTCAGGTTCCCGTTGGCTGCCTCGTCGGCCATGTCGTCCCGGTCCTGCTGCGCCTGGCGCCGGGCCCGGTCGGAGGCCGCGAGCTCCTGCGGACAAGGGGAGGAGGGACACGCGCGTGTCAGCAGGCACGGGAGGCCACGGCCGGCCCGTCCTCACGGGTATTAGCGCTACCCGGGGCTGCTCGGCACTGCGTGCAGCCCGGACTTCCCCGGGGCTCCGAGAGAATCCGTTTCCTTCGAGGCTCCCCCCGGGCATCTCTCATCCCTTCCCCTTCGGGCGGTGGGGAGTCTCGTTGGCCTGGCCTCATCTCCCTCCGTCCCGGCCCCCCCCCCCCGCCCCTTCAGGGACTTCCCCCTGGCCCGGCACCCTTCCAGTGCTAAATCTGAGCCCATTTTCTTGGGCCTCATCTCTGGAGGCCACCCATCCCCGTCTTCACCTCGATCCTGCCGGCTGTTTTGAGAACGACGCTGTCTCGTCGCTTGCCTCCTACTCACAGGGCCGGCCGCCTCCCGGGTACAGACCCCTTTCCCCTCCCCTCACACCTGGACCAGGGCCCCCAGGAGGCAGGGCTGGCTCTAGGCTGCAGCCCTGAAGCCTCCTAATCAGGCACTCGGAGCTCCACGAGCTTTTCCTCCAGCTCGATACTTTATCTCCAGCCTCGGTGCTGTACGCGCTGTACCTCACAGCGGGAAGGCACTCCCTAGAGAAGCTCATTCCTGTGCCCACCCCTTCCAGGGGAAGGTCAGCTTCTGCAGGGCAGGGACTCCTCTGCGCCTTTTCCCCTAAGGGCCCCGTGCGGCGTCCTCACCTCCTGCAGCCTCAGCAACTCCGCCTCAAGGCCCTTGAGCCTCTTCTCATTCTCCCGGTTCTGGGCAAAGATCTCCTCCCTAGAAGTTCGAGACTCCTCTACTTCCCGCCACAGCTCCTTCATCTGGGCCTGGAAGAAAGACCTTGGACTCGCCGAGAGCTCGCCCCTCCCCCCCCACCGCCTCTCCACGCCCTGTTCCGGGGAGCCCCCATCCCTGTCCTCCCTGCCTCTCCTTCACCTTTCGTGCCTGGATCAGAGTCCAACCTCCTCATTTCACAGAGGAAACTGAGGCTGAGAGAGGGTGATGCAGCTAGCTGATGTCAGGTTGCCCTCTTAGCACGAGGGCCAGTGAAGGCCACACATCAGCACGGAATGAGTTTAGACAGGAAGAAAACCCGGGGGTGTCTTCCCTCTGACCCCCAGCTTTAAAAAAAAAAAGCAGGTCTCTGGAACCGAGGAACTAGATGAACCCCGGGAGCCCTCAGAGTGCAACCCCTCTTCCCTCCACCAATGACCAGCATCAGCAGCCCTCCCAGCTGTGTCACGGCAGTGTGCTCAGCCTCAGTTTCCCCATCTGTACAATGGGGATCCTAAAAGCCCCCGCCTCCCAGGTCGTTGTGAGGATCTAATGAGGTCATTTCTGTCAAGCACTTGGCCAGTGGGAAAGCGTTCTAGACCCGGGGGCTGTGACTGCTGTGCTGTGGGAGCGGTCCAGAGGTCAGGGGCGAGGGCTCAGGGCCGCCCTTCCCACTTCGGCCCTCCTCCTCCTGGCAGTGAACCCCCTTGGGAATGAAGAAGGGTCCTGGAACCCTTGGGGAGTCCCCAGGAAGGGGAAAGGACTTGTCCAAGGTCACACAGTCCCTCAGAGGCAGAGCCAGGACTGGCACGTGGGCCTCCCCCCCCACCTTCCCCAACACACACAAGCTGCATAGAAGGTGGGCAGTTTTCAGGGCAGTTGTGTTTTTGAGATAGCTGATGACTCCATGAAGAGAGCATCTGACCTGAAATCAGGAAGACCCGGGTTCAAATCTGACTCAGACATTTACTAGCTGGGTGACCCTGGGCAAGTCACTGTTCCTGCTTGCCTTAGCTTCCCCATCTGTAAATAGGTATCGTAATAGCACTTGCCTCCCAGGACTGTTGTGAGGAACAGATGAGATTGTATTTGTAAACTGTATTTGCCTCTTTATCTTTAGTATTAATATTAAAGGTGGAGACAGGCAGTCTAGGTGGGGACTGATACAGCACCATCAGCTGCGTCCCATCTCTGTACAAACACAGGCCGCCCCCCACCCCCCCATACATTCGGTGTCCCAGAGAACGTAAGTTACTTGAGGGCAGGGAAGGTGTTGCTGTTGTAGCTGCATCTCCAGAGTCTAGTATGGCGCCTAGCACATAGTAGGTGCTTAGCAGAGTCTGTTGAACTGGCGATCCCTTTGAGTCAGTCAGTGAGTCAGTCAACAAACATTTATTAAACACTCACTAGGCCCCCGGCTAAGTCCTGGGGACAAAGAAAATGGCACCCCTATAAAGTAACAGCCATGGATGGCCCGGTCAGGCTGCCTGCCAGCCCGATTCTGGCTAAGCTGGGCAGCGGCCAGAGGAGGGGAGGCCGGGGGAGCCCTTGCAGGGTTCTCTGCTCAGCCCCAAAGAGCTGATTCGGGCTTGGGAGCAGGAACAGCTCCTAGCAGTGAGGGCAGCCCTGGAGCAGTCTCTGGGGATGCCTTAGAGGGGCCCTCCCTTCAGCCAGGCCCCAGACTCAGATGTCACGGCCCCCTCCCTGGACACTTGGAGCCCCCAGGCTGGGCAGGCACAGGGTGCAGGCTCAGCCCAAGGTTCCCGTGACCTCCCACCGGCCCCAGACAAGAGCTCTCAGGAGGCTGATGGTGCAAACATCAGCATCTCCACCCTAGATGAGGCCCAGAGGCTCCATCCTCTCCATGAACCTTGTGGCTCCATTAGCCGGAAGCTCCCAGGAGGCAGGGGCCGGCTCACCTCTGTGATTGCATTCCCTGGCACATGACATGCTCAACAAAACATCTGCTGCGATGGCTGATCCAGGGCCATCCTGTAGGCCAGGGGCAAAGAGGGAGCCAGGACCCTGGCCCTGGCCTCCCAATCTGGGACTCTTTCCAGATGGTTCCAGAAAGAGACAACTCCTGCCCACAAACTTGGACCCTGGGGCCCAGCAGGAAGACGCCCATCACCAAATCCAGGGCCACAAACCCCCTTTGGTCTAACCCTAGTTATAGAATCTGATCACCTCAGAGGTGGAAAGAGCCTCAGAGGCATTTAGGGGACCCTGCCCCCCAAGAAACCCTACTATGCCATGCCCAGGAGAGAAAGAAAGGCAGGCTGGGAGCATGGGCCTAGAAGAAAATGTCTGGGGGAGGAGGGCACAGCAATTTCTTTTTTTGAGGCAGGGGTGACTCCTCTCCCATTATAATGTAAGCCTGGACCGAATTCCTTGCACTTAGTGGTGCCAGGTAAACAGCAGGTGCTTAATAAATGCCTACGTAAGCTACATGCAATATTCCCATTGCTCGTTCTGTTCTACTGTGCATATGCAGTTGGGGTGGGGAGGAATCATTGAATTCAGGAAAGACGCTTGGATGCTGGGGCACCGCCCGGCCGGGCCGCAGCCCTGTGCCCACCTGTGTCTTCCGCAGCTGCTTCATGGCCTCCTCCTTCCCCTGGCCCGCAGAGCCCACCTGGACCTTCAACTCCTCCAGGTCCAGCTCTGCCTTCTTGCGGGCCGCCATGGCCAGCGTCCTCTGCTTCCTCTCCTCATCCCGCTCGACCTCGGCGTCCCGTAACTAAGGGAAGGGGGCGGGCGAGGGGCAGGTCAGCCTGCCCCCTGGAGCCGGCCGGCCAGCCTGCTTCCCTCCTCCCTGGGGGCCTCCCCACTTCCTCAGGGGCCGCCCCCTGCCTCAGGGCCTCCCTACTCCCTTGGGGGCCTCCCCGCTTCCTCAGGGGCCTTCCCACTTCATCTGGGGGCCTCCCCCTCCCTCGGTGGTCGCCCTGCTTTTTCCCTCCTCCCTGGGGGCCTCCCCACTTCCTCGAGGGCGTCTCTGCTCCCTAGGGGGCCTCCTCTTTCCTTGGGGCACCTCTTCCCTCCCTCGGGGGCCTCGCCGCCCGGGGCCCCACCTGCTTGGCCAGCAGCCGCCTCCTTTCCTCTCCAGCCTCATCTCGGCCCTGCAGCTCCCGCTCATGCTGAGCCTTCAGTGCTTGGGCCGTCACCTCCAGGCGTAGCTTGGCGTCCTCCGCGGCCATCAGCTCGTCCTCCAGCTCCGTTACCTGAATGCGAAGGTCGGCGGCCGCCTGCTCCGCTGCCCGGCGGGCTCTCTCCATTTCGTGCACCTGGGGAGACGGGAGAGTGAGCACCAGGCAGGGGGGAGGCAGAGAGGGAGACCCGGGCCCTGCGGGGGCAGGGGGAGGGGCCCAGGGGACGGGGAGGGGCCCGCGGGCAGGCAAGATTCGGCCTTACGCTCTTGCCCACGTCGTCCTTGTTACTCAGCAGCTCTTCCAGCTCTGCCCGGAGGGCCCGGTTCTGCCGCTCCAACTCCTCACGAGCCTCACGCTCCTCTTCCAGGGCCCGGGCCAGTGCCAGGGCCCGGGCCTCGCGCTCCCTGCCCTCAGCCTCTGCCCGCTCCCGTTCCTCCACTGCCCGCTGGGACACTGCCTTCTCCTCTGCCAGGAGCTGATTAGAAAAAGGAGCAAGCCCCCACGGGGGTGAGGAGGAGGAAAGACGTGCGGTCCGACTGCTGAGCAGAAGGCCAGCCGCGGCCGGAGGAGCCCAGGGAGCCCAGGGAGCCCGAAGCTTCGGCCCTGTTGGGTGACACGCCAGCTCCTGGCCTTCTCTGGGCCACATCGTGCCCAAGGCCCAGACGAACACAATGTCCGAGCTCATGAGGACCAGATCGGGACCAAAAAGAACTCCCAGGGCCTGGCCCCTCCTGGGCTCTGAGCGAGTCTGTGGCCCATGACTGAGGCTACGATCGGGGCTACAATCCCCCCTTTCCCTCCTTCCCTCGAATAGAACCCCCCCCCCCCCCAGTTTCTCCTGCCTGAAGCTCGTGGGCTTATCATTATTGGCAAGGCAGGGAGCTCCTCCAGGGCCAGGACTGAGGTTTTGCCTTTCTTTCTATCCCCAGCACACACAGTAGTTCTACAAGTTCACCTGACTTGAGGGACAAGTGGGCCATCCGGGGATGGCCCAGAAAGCAGAGAAACCAGGTTGAGCCCGACTGGGCCGGGAGCGGGTCTGCCCGGCGCCCCCTGGGGTCTGGGTGCCCCAGTCTGAGCTGCCTCCTGGCACTGGAGGTCTCCAAGCAAGGGTCCCCGTCATTTCCCACTGCCCAAGTACCTGGTCGAATTTCTTCTGTTTCTTCTCGAGGCTGCTGACCAGGTGCCGCTGCTGCTCCAGATCCATGGAGACATCGTCCAGCTCCTGCTGCAGCTGCCGCCGGCCCCGCTCCAGCCGCTCGGTCACCTCGGTCTTCTCGGCCAGCCTCTGGGCCAAGGCCTCGGCCTCTCGGGCGGCCCGTCGGCGGGCCTCCTCTCCGGCCTCCAGGGCTCCCGCCTCTTCCTCTTGCCGCCTCCGCCACTCCGACAGCTGGGGGACGGGTCACCTTGAACCCTCAGTGCTCGGCCTCAGAAGCCTGAGTCCTGCATGCCCTTCACGGTGGGCAGCCAGCCTCTCCCACGCCTCAGGCTCTGTCCTGGAACCCCTCCTGTCTTTCTCCCGCTCTTCACTTTGGGGTCATCCAGGGCTCCTTCTCTCTGCCCCCGTGGTCATGGGGATGTCAGCCGGTGATCCCCTCCTCCCCAGCTCCAGACCCTCTGGACATCCCACCAATCCATCATCTGAGCTTCAAGTCTCCTCCCCCTCCTCCTATGCCAGCTCTGGTCCTCCCTCACCCCTCGCTGGCTCTAGCCTGGGCTCTGCGCACCAGGCCGGACAACCACTTGTCTAGAATGTCCCGGTGAGGATTCCCATCATATGTGGCCACGGAGATCTTGGGTGAGGCGTCTCCTACGGCACCTTCCCTGTCTCCTCTCCCAGCTCCTGAGGGGGCTGTCAGCTGTCTCCCCCGCTATACTTTCCTTTAGTTTGGGGGATGGCTGCCCTCCTCCCTTCACCCTCCTCCCACCCAGCCAGTGTGGATGGTCTCAGGCTTCTATCGGCCTTCTCTGGACCCTCCTATCCGCTCCTGTAGCTGTGACTGCAACCTGCCCGTCTCTCAGCTCTCCCATCCAACCCTGACCTCTCTTCTTAGCCCCGGGGCCACAAATCCACACGGATATCTGGTCTGCTTGGGGGTCCACACCACCTGTGGCATCTTTCCTCAAACCGGGGCTTCTGCTTTGGACAACCATCGTCCTTCTCTCGAACCCCCAAGGTGATCAATGACAGATGTCCCCCCCCCTCCAGACAGCCCCAGACAGGGCATTTCCCTTCCCTCCCAGCTCACCTGGGCCTGGGCTGTCTGCAGCTCCCGCCCGGCTCGCTCCCTGGCCGCTGCCTCTTCCTCCAGCTGTTCCCGCAGCCCAGCGGCCTCGCTCTCCAGCCCTCGGACCCGGGACCCCAGGGCCAGCTTGGCCCGTGTCTCCTCCTGCAGGAGCTCCTGGGGTGGAACAGATCGATGGCGGGTGGGGAAGAAGGAAGGAGTAATGGGAATGGGCACCGGGGGAGGACTGGGGGCAAGCAGATGAATGGACGAATGAAGAGGGAGGGAATGAAGTAAGGGGTCACAGGAGTTCCGAGCTGGCCTAGCCAGAGTCCCTTCTTCATTTGAGAGAGGAGGGATCCCGGGCTGATGCAGAACCAGGGGGAGGGGACCCGGAGATCACTTCAGCAAGGTGGAAGTCAAGGCCCAGACAGGGGAGGGGACTTGTCCGAGGTGACCAGGCGTGTGGGACTGTCCCGGAGGGAAGGTGGGCTGGCGGGGAGCCGGCCACAGTGCCCCTCCCCCTTCCTTTACCTGGGCGTCATGAAGCTGGACCTCGGCGCTGCTCAGTTCCTTGCTTAGGCGGATCGCTTTGGACTCGGCCTCACTCAGGGCCCCTGAGACACTGTCCAGCTCCGCCTGAGAGGGGGACGCAGAGACTCCCCGTCAGCACCGCTCTGGCTGCCCGATCCTTCCCTCCCTGCTCATCCGCATCCGAAGGGTGGGAGGGGGAGGGCTTGGAGAAGTCTGATCCCTTCCTTCCCAGTTCCACAGTTGGGAACACCGAGGCCCAGAGAGGCCAAAAAAGGGGACGCGGGGGGGGGGGGGGGAACCGCGCAGCTGTGTCTAGTCCTTTCTAAGGACGCCGACAAGCGGGAGAATACTAGGCCGGTGCCAAAGAATGGCCCAAAAACCTGGGCACCCTGAGGGCAGGCTCTGCCTCACCGCCAGGGCACAGCGGATGCTTAAGAAGAAAAGCCCTGGGGGTGGTCCAGCGCAGGCCCGCGCTGGCCTCGCCGGGGTCTGAGGACCAACCGCACCATTCTCACGGAAGGCACTCTGCTTGGCACTGGAGGCCCGAAGGCCAAGGACGCCCCCCGTCCTCGTCTGAGTCCCCTCCGGCAGCCGGCCGGGCTCACCTGGGCTCTCTGCAGCTTGTCGGCTGCTTCGGCCCGGGAGCGCTCGCCATCGCCGGCCCGGGCCTGCAGCTCCTGCAGCTGGGTCTCGAGCCGCCGGCGCCTCTGGTCGCCCTCCTGCCGCGAAGCCTGCAGGCTGCCCAGCTCGGCCCGCAGCTCGGACACCTCGGCTTCCAGGGCCAAGCGGGTCTTCTCCCAGGTGCCTTTGCCCTGGGGGGAGGTGGCAGAGCGTCAGGTCCTGGGCCCAGCCCTGGAAGGGCTGCAGGACGTGTCTGTGCATAACCCGGCGCAGTAAGCCCCCGACTTTACAGATAAAATGCCTGAGACAGGCGAGGGGATTTACCGGGACCACCCAGCTACCGAGAACCCAAAGCCGGACTCAAACCCAGGTCCTCGGTCCTTCCACTCTTCCTCTCTGAGTTGGAAGACCAGGACTGGAGGCCTGATTCTGCCACTCATCAGCTCTTTGGTCGGGAGCAGGGCCACCATCTCAAGGAGGGAGATCAGAGCTGTCCGGTGGGGGTGGCCTCATTGCTCCTTTCTGACCTTAATGTGATGATGTATTAATAATAATAAACAAACCTGTGGTTTCTAAGCCGGCAGGAATCCTGGGATATGGTTTAGGGACCCTTGTTTTGACTGAGTTTGACCCTATGATCTAGAGGGCCACTAAGCTCTCCCATTCATACACACCACTCCATCTCCCATCCCTGGGCCTTTGTCCAGGCTGTGCCTCATGCCTGGAGTGCTCTCTCCTCACCTCTGCCTCTTAGAATCAATCCCAGCTTTCTTTCCAAGCTCAGTTCTAGCGCCGCCTCCTACACGAGACCCCCCACCCCCATTTCCATTGTATGTGTTTTGTGTCTGTTTTGATAAGCTGTGTGAGGGCAGGATTCTGCTCCGTATGCCAGAGCCTGGTGCACTGCGTGGCACACTGCAGAGATTTAATAAATGCACACCGGTTGGTGTACTGGTTCAGTGCCGTGGAGTCCTGTGCCCTGGGTTTGAATCCTAGCTGGGTGATCTTGAGCAAGCCGCCTTCTCCTCCAAGTCTGTTTCCTTGCCTGAAGGTGGCGCCAATAACGCTCACCCTCCCTGCCTCTCAGGGCCAGCAACCCCTGGGGTCAGCGTGCTGCCGAGGAGCACTCGTGTCTCAGTGGAGGGATTTCCTCAACAGGGAGGGCCCTGCCCTGATGAAATCGGAGATGTGGGCACAGAAACGGCTTCCTGCACTCGGAGCCCAGCCCCGGGGGGATCCCTGCCTGGGAGGCTCAGGCCCTCAGTCAGCTGGGGGAGGCAGAGGGGGCTTTCTCCTCAGGCATGCCCCTCCCTCTAGCTGGCCTGGCAGGTCTCACACATCTGTCAGAGCAGAGGGGAGAGAGCCAATGGTTATCTGTGGCCCGGGGTGACCTCAAGAACATCCCCCATTTCCTGCAAGGCCAGGTTCTGACCCCTCACGTCCAGAAAAGGCCCAGCCATGGCTCAGTTCGGGGCCAGAAAGACAGAGCCCGAGGGGGGAGGGGAGGGGAAAGAGAAAGGAGGGAAGGAGGGATGGGGCAAGAGAGAGGAAGGGAAAGAGAGACACACAGAGAGAGAAAGAGATCATAGCGCCATAGATTTAGAGCTGGAAGTGACCTCAGAGACCACTGGGTCCAACCCCTTCATTTTACAGGTGAGGAAACTGAGGCAGAGGTGACATGACTTGCCCAGGATCACACAGCTACCAAGCTGTGGCCGGTTTTGAACTCAGGCCTTCCTGAGCCCAAATGCCAGGTGCCCTGCACCCCAAGAAGGGCTGTGTCCCAGCTGATGGTCATTAGAGTCTCAGACCCATCGCTCAGGACCAGCATTTCTCCATTCAGGCTCATGTCTTTTCCAGGGACATGACTGGAGGAGCCTCAGAAGCCAGTCTCTCTGAGGCAGGACAGGGAGGCTCCATCCCTCTCTTGGGGCCTGCTCCCTAGAAAGGCCTTTAACAGACTACCCAAAGGGGCAGCTAGGTGGCCCAGCGGATAGAGTACCGGCCTTGGAGTCAGGAGGACCTGAGTTCAAATCTGGACCAGACACATAACACTTACTAGCTGGGTGACTCTGGGCAAGTCACTTAACCACAATAGCATCACCAAAAAAAAAAACCTCTCATTTTCCCGAGAAGGGGAAAGGAAGTCCCCATGACCTGGAGCCATATGGGTCTGAGGCCCCGACCTCCCTCTTTCCACACCCTCCCCCTGCCCTGGAGCGACCTCCAGGCCTTCTGAGGGCTCTCGGGCCAGACCAGGAGAACTGCTGCTACCAAGTGACAAATATCCAGCAGAGGCTTTCCAGGCCAGAAGGGACACTGCAAGGCGGCCATTAAACCATCACTTTGCAGCTTGCTCGGGCCTGTCACCGTGAGGGCCAGAGCAGAGCTGGGACACTGAGGTTGGGGGGGGCAGGCACCGCGCCAGCACCAGCCCTCGCTCTTACCCGCCGCGCCTGTTCTAACTGTTCGCCTAGCTCGCCCAGGGCCTGGCCGTGACGCTGCCGTAGCTCCTGGACGGCGGCCTCATGGCTACGCGTCTCCTCCTCCAGCGCCCGCTTCAGCTCAGACACTTCCTGCTCCCGCTTGGTCCTGGTAAGTGAGAGAGAGAAAGAATGACTTGTAACTGGAGCCTTGTCAGGCCTGTGGAGGACCCCACACCACTGGGAGGGCTGCAGAACGGAGTCAGGGCACAGGCAGCCTGCCCAGGGCCAAGGGGCCAACGTCCAGCTTTACCCTTGGGCTCGAGAAATTCTGAATAAGGGACCGATGTCAGGTTTTATATTTGGGCTCAAGAAATCAATTTCAATGAATTTCGAACAAGGGAACAATGTCCAGCTTTACACTTGGCCTCAAGACATTCTGAATAAAGGATCAATGTCAGGTTTCATATTTGGGCTCAAGAAATCAATTTCCTGTGTGGAACTGGGGAGGAACGTCTCACAGCAGCTGGTCTGAGAGAGATCTGGGCTTTGGGTGGACTGGCAAGCTCATGCTGAAATGACAGGCCTCCCTTCGGAACCCCACCCCCACCCCAGGCCTCATCCTTCCAGGCCCCAGGGGCGCCAGCCTCCTGCACAGGCCTGGTCATGTCCTCCTGTGGGCTAACACCCACAGAGGAGGGCCAGGGTCCCTTAGCTTAGCATTCAGCCTTCCCCCTCCCCCTCCCCAAACTGGATCTCCGCTCTCCTTTCCAGCCTTCACACAATGTCCCAAACCTTCCCACCTCCAAGCATTTGCTGCTGCACTAACCCATGCCAAGATCATTCTTGCTCCCTGTCACCACCTGTAGAAGTCAGCTCAAATGCCGCCTCCTCCAGGAAACCTTTCTGGAGGGTCCTGATTCATAAGGACCACTCCAGTCCCCATCAGCAGGTGTCAGCATCAGCCCATCCCCTACAGGAGCTCCCCAGGGCAGGCACAACAAGGAGGACCTCACTCTCATTGGTGCCCGGTGTCTGGACCGGTGGGGAGCGCTCCGGGACCGGAGGCCCAGAGAGGGGAAGGAACTTGCCCAGAGTCCCACAGGTCAGGACTCGAACCCAGGCCTCGCTGTTTAGGCCCCTGAGCCCATCTTACAAAGGAGAGAGCGCTGGCTGGCCCAGGGTCCCAGAAAGGCCGCCTGCGGCTCTCACCGGAGCTCCTGCTGGGCGTTGGTGGAGTCCAGCGTGTCTTCCAGCTCCCCACGGAGGGCCTCCAGCTCCTCCCCGAGGTCTCGACGCTGCTTCTCTGCCTTGGTCCGCGCCGCCCGCTCGGCTTCCAGGTCCTCCTGGGCTTCGGTCAGCCCGGCCTGGGCCTCTCGGAGGGACTTGAGCAGCGTGGCCCGGGCGCCGCCCTCCTCCTCGGCCCTGGGGGAGGGGAGGGCACTGAATGCTCTAGGGGGAGACCGGGCTGACGGCCCCCCAAGCTTAGACTGTGGATTTCTGGGAGCGGGGTCTGTGCGCGGGGCGGGGGGTGTTCCTGCTTCAGGCAGGGGCACTGCCGAGGGCCCCCCCACCACACTCGGTCTGTGAAAGCGCCCCTTTCATAGAAAGCGTCTGGGCAAAGCAGAGCCTGGGGAGGGGAGATGGTTGGTGAAGGTGGAACTAAGGTGTGCCTAAGGGTGACTGGGGGGAGGGTCTCTGGGCCCTCGAGGGGCTGGCGGCTGGGCGGGGTCTCAGCATCCCTGGTGAGGTCTGGTGGCTACGGGGGTCTCAGGGTCCCTGTAGCAGGGGCTGATGGCGGGGGTGGGTCTC